GTCGCAATTGAAGTGAGTTACTCCATCGACACCAGCGATGCTCAATGTGTGCTACGAGAACCAGAATCACTGCTAATACATGAAATATTCTAAATGCGGATCGTGTTATTGGCTATGATGCGGCTTTAAACGGTTTGTAATTTTGTACAGTCCTTTGAACTCAACTCAACTGTATTTATAGAGCACTTTCAAACAGCCATCGCTGCATACAAAGTGCTGTACATGGCATGAAGTACAATACATGGCATTTCATCTCCAATTTTGAGCATGTTTTTATTTTCCCCTTTTTCTATTATGGCGCAGCTGCAGATGGGATGTGGGGTCGCCTTGATGGCTGCCCACTGCATCTGGTCCCTATGTTCCCCTCCGACACTCCCCACTTTATCTCCACATGTGCTAGTCTGTCTGTCATGTTAGTGTGCCTGTTTGCTGGTTTGCTTATTTTCTTTTCCCTCTAAATCACAGGTGTCAAACTCAAGGCCCGGGGGCCAGATCTGGCCCGGCACATTATTTTATGTGGTCCGCGAAAGCAAATCCAAGAAGTCAACTTTCATGATGCTTATTAAAATCTCGACCAAAATTTCAAATTGTCATTTGTAATACATAACAGTGATACTCTAAGCATTTTCTTGTTCCCAAACCCCTACTGTTACTTTCATTTAAACAATTGGTGAAAAAAACTGTTATTTTTCACTCCTTCACATGGTTTCATAACAGCCCTCCAAGGGAAACTGGAACTAAAATCTGGCCCGCGACAAAAACAAGTTTGACACCCCTGCCCTAAATCCCCTTAAAGGGGCTTAGTCTGGGGCTGTTCTTTTGCCTCCTTCTCCCTTCTTTCTTTGTTTTTTCCTTTTCATCAGCAAAAATGTAAAAGGCAAGCTGTAAAAGGCGACTCCCGTTCTGGATTCCCCTGTTGGTCATTGTTTGTTCTATGTCTCCTGGATGGGTCATGTCTGTTCCATTTCGTTGCACCCTGTGGTACAATGACAATATGACAAGTAATGCAACAGAAAAGCACTTACATCCACGCGGCAACCCAGGCTCATGGCAGTGGACGATATGGTGAAGTTAACACTCTCCATCTGACCTACTGCAGAGGTGTGGTTGGCTTGGATGAGCAATGGGGTCACCGGTCCCAGCTGCATTCAACACAGAGTGGGAAGTTTGTCGTCTATGAATCCATACCTACATGAATTAACCCTTCGTTTCTTACCTTGTATGAGCCCATTGCTTTTATTTGAGTCACAATGGCCATGTTGGCCTGATTGCACGGCACACCCAGCAGCCTGGACAGATTAAATTTACTCATCTGCGTAATCCAGGATTAGAATTGCAATTACCTTTGCATAAATATGTCCGCTAGAAACTTCATAACAAAGACAAAGGTCGTGCGGTCTTACCAGACGATCTTGCAGAAGGCGCGCGTCAGGTCGGTGGGCGCGCCATGTGCAAAAACGCACAAACCTAAAACGAGGAAAAGAGCGGCAAACTTGATTTTAGTGGACATGGCGGCAGGAAAAAGAAATTATGCTAGGAGTGCGGCGATGGCAGTTTGTGTGGGAATGTCCACGCCCAACTTCGGTTTTTAAAGAACATCCTCGGTGAGAACGATCATGTGGCAGCATGTAAATGACATTAGCATGACACTTCATGGTGCACGCTTGGATTTTGGACACATTTACACACGCATACATACAACATCTGTCTTTTCATAACACTGTGTTCTTTGTGTAACTGTCCACAATATCATCTTCTATTGTTTCTTGACATTAAACCCTAGTTTGAAACTCGAATCCTACTTGGAATTCCTAAGCCTACTTTAAAACCCTAATTTGAAATCCAAAACCGAGTTGAAACCCCTAGTTTGAAACCCTAATCCTAATTTGAAACCCTTCTTTGTACATCCTTAACCCTAGTGAAAAAATAATAATTTGAAAGCCTAACACAAGATTAAAAACATAATTTGAAACCCTAATGGCGGGTGGCAGTTTTTCCAAGTCAATTCCAGCCGGATGCCGCTTCCACATGGCAGTATACACAATGGGGGATCTGGTGGGTGCCGGGGACCGCCACCGTATCGGTCCCACCCTCTCCAGGCGCCTGCATCAAAGTGGATTTTTCTTCCGCCGACCTGAAAGTGTTTTATTGAAAAACTTGAACATTTTAAGTCTGTATGGAAGTTTCACAAAATTGAGGAAAATCACCCCCCGCCTGTGAAGTGAAATGTGGGTGGCCTTGAAGAAACTGCTTTCAGTTTGACAAGGTGGCAACCACAACCACCTTAATCTGTGTTAAGATATGATTCCTCTCTGTTAGCTGGATTTGAAAGAAACAATGTAGAATGCTGTTGAAGGTATTTCCTGCTTACTGTGATTACAATCACCTTTGGTACCCCCTCACCCCCACCACTTTTAGGACCCCTCCAGAGGACATGTCAACATCAAAAGAGGAACTGTTATCTCAAGTATCTGTGTTGCAACTATTGAGGGACTTCGCTTTGCTATGAGTACTATTGATCTCAGTCTCTTTCCTGAACATCTGTTTGCACACTTAAAACAACGTATGTAGTGTTAAAGTTTATTTTCTTCCTCCTTGGTTGATTAACAGCCCCCCAAGTGTCTTCTGTTGTCCCCCCGCACCTTGGGTGGGTCCCTGATCGCTGTTAAGCCCCCCTGGGAAGACCTCTTATCTCAGGATGTATGCACAGCGGGGGTTCTGGAACTTGCCATCACACCAAATGGTGGGTAGTGGTCGTTTGGTCTCACCTCACCACTCCCACCTTCTTCCAGCCACACCGGGTCAGATGTCATGTTACTTTTGTTTCTGGGATTTGCATGAGAGGCGTACCTCCCCGCCTCTCATTATCATATTGTCTCTATATAATCTCATGAATGTGTTTCTTCTACGCTTCCTGATTCAAATCTGGACCCCTCAGGAGCCCGAATCGATTCGTAAACTGCAGAAAATAAATTAAAAACCTTCGAAGGAACTGTTCATCGCCTCCAGCCTTTATTTGGATTTCCAACATTCTCCTCGTCCGAAATTCAACGAACACGCGGGGAAGAGGAGGCCACTCTACCCCAAACATCTGCATAGTGCTCAATGTCAAAATGAAACAAATTGGGCAGCTTTTCGACTGGATTGTTCTATGTGCAAGTGTCTTGCATGAAGTGGCTGATAAATAAGACTCCTGTGACCCTGCGAAATGCAGGAATGAACTCAAGTGTGCATAATCACATTTTCACCACCTCCAATTTTTCTGGATCGAAGAGCCGACTGCCAATTGTGAGGCTGGCGATTCAAGCAGAAAGTGGAATTTGCCTTGTGTCGAGGCCTTGTTGAATCAGCCAACTGGCCCAAATAGACGCAGATCACACGGCATGAGTGGAGAGTGGCTTCATTGGTAAAACATGCTCACAAAAGCAAGTGACAAATGGAAGGAGAAGCGTATGCTGCCATCTCTCGGATCGATGTGGTTCCCACTTCCCTGTCAAAAAAAATGTTTTTTGGGGTTGCACGACGGCTTTCAGGCCAACATCAGTCTCCGATGTGTCATGGGCAAACAGAATATCCATACCATCCATACAGAGTATTTTATGATTCCTCCATACATACTACAATTATAAAATGTATTTTATAATCATACATGGCAATGGCGAGTGATGAAAAAAGCGGAAGGGGCGTGGCCTGGACGGGGGCGTGGCCTGGACGGGGGCGTGGTTACTTACAAAAGTGGCACTAAACATGCTGAAGATGAAGTGTATTAAATTTACACAGTTTGAAAATTGAACAGAAAAAAATCCCAAGATCGCCACTATTCTTTCAAGTGAAAATTTGTGCAATTTTGCCTATGCATTCCTGGTGAGCACCAATATGTAACTCCAAATTTGCTGCTCAAAATCAAAACTAAAAAAGTAAACACATCCTAACCGCCTCTCATTATCATATTGTCTCTATATAATCTCATGAATGTGTTTCTTCTACGCTTCCTGATTCAAATCTGGACCCCTCAGGAGCCCGAATCGATTCGTAAACTGCAGAAAATAAATTAAAAACCTTCGAAGGAACTGTTCATCGCCTCCAGCCTTTATTTGGATTTCCAACATTCTCCTCGTCCGAAATTCAACGAACACGCGGGGAAGAGGAGGCCACTCTACCCCAAACATCTGCATAGTGCTCAATGTCAAAATGAAACAAATTGGGCAGCTTTTCGACTGGATTGTTCTATGTGCAAGTGTCTTGCATGAAGTGGCTGATAAATAAGACTCCTGTGACCCTGCGAAATGCAGGAATGAACTCAAGTGTGCATAATCACATTTTCACCACCTCCAATTTTTCTGGATCGAAGAGCCGACTGCCAATTGTGAGGCTGGCGATTCAAGCAGAAAGTGGAATTTGCCTTGTGTCGAGGCCTTGTTGAATCAGCCAACTGGCCCAAATAGACGCAGATCACACGGCATGAGTGGAGAGTGGCTTCATTGGTAAAACATGCTCACAAAAGCAAGTGACAAATGGAAGGAGAAGCGTATGCTGCCATCTCTCGGATCGATGTGGTTCCCACTTCCCTGTCAAAAAAAATGTTTTTTGGGGTTGCACGACGGCTTTCAGGCCAACATCAGTCTCCGATGTGTCATGGGCAAACAGAATATCCATACCATCCATACAGAGTATTTTATGATTCCTCCATACATACTACAATTATAATAGTTTGTCCAATTATTGTTAAAGTGAGTTGTATTAGGGTAAAAAATGTTTTGCAAAACCTCAACGTTACTTATTACACATGACAATTTGACATTTCGGTACACATTGTAGCAAGCTGACACACGTGATTTGCTTTCACGAGACACATAAAATGATCTGAAGTGCCGGATCTGGCCCCCGGGCCTCAAGTTTGACACGTGTGCTCTATGGTGTATTACAACAACAACAAGAACAACAACAAACGAAATTTGAATCAAACTGCGGTGCATGTTACAAGGTAGGAGTCAAAGACA